ATGTTTACAATTTTGACTTTCAAAAACATGATTTTTGAAAGTCAAAATTGTAAACATTTCGACTTTTTCCACATCATAGTCAACGTTTTAAAGGTGGTAAAATAGTGGATTTTGTGCACTCTGTCGGATAAGCTGTTGTTTAAAAAGAATTGATGAGAAGTTTTAAATACATGCAAAAATTGTTGATGAAGGTATCTGTTTCATCGATTGGGATAGTAGATACCTTCAACTATATAATGATATGCTTAATTTTATATCGACCATTTTGAGAAATTTTGTGTTTTTGACAGGAGGGAAGCCTTAAAAAGAGCGGATTCCATTGATGTTATGATATTTTAGCTTAACTGCCCTAATAGTTACCAATCTGACATTTAGATTTCAAATAGAGCAGAATCTTCCGTTACCCACCACAACAATTTCATTGCGCAATTTTACTCAGTTAATCTATTTAACTCAGATAAATCAGGCAATGACAATAAAGACGGTGAGTGATTTATGTCGTCGATATTCGACAGTTTCTCATATTAATTCATCGACGAGTGAAGGCAACACAATGGGTTTCATGTATTGGCAATTGAACGACATTTGGCAAGCACCAACATGGGCGTCAATTGAATATGGGGGTAAATGGAAAATGTCACATTACTATGCGAAACAGATGTATCAATCAATCTATGTTTTACCCGTTCTTGAACCCTATCTCACATACGATGAAAATGCCAAAATAAGCATTTATATGATTAATGATGGAGTTGCGAATGATACTGAGCAAGGAACAATTGAATGTTACGTTCATGATGTTGAACAGTTTCGACCGCGAACAAAATTTATATTTTTGGTAAATACAGACGATCAAATAGACTCAAAAATAATTTATCAGGTTCAGTATCAAGCACTGATTCAACGAGCAAGATGTCAAAATCAATCTCAATGTTTGATGAGGTGAGCAGTTTTTTTCTCTTGGTGGTCCTAACCATCCACTCGTCTGTTTTTAGGTGTTGGTACACATCTATGAACGATACGGCTCTGGAAGTGTACGAACAAACTTTATTCTTTGCTCGACCAAAACAATATCAGCTAAATAATCCAAAACTGAACATTGTCTCAGTCACTAATCGTTCATCTGATATGACGTCATTTGATATTAGAATTCAAGCCGACAAACCCGCACTGTTTGTCTGGCTTGATGTAGTTGGTGTCAAAGGCAGATTTAATCAAAATGGATTTCATATGTTTCAAAATGATAAAGTGTTGACCTATACAACATGGGGAAAACCATCAACGGTAAACGATATTATTCAAGGATTATCTGTTTCATCGCTAAATGATTTGTATGTTATGTGATGTACTTTACCATTTTTCAATAAAAATACAATAATTACTACATTTTTCACTAGTAGTACCACTAGGGACCTGAATAGGGAGTGAACTATATGTGTGTGGGAGGGGAAGGACGGGGATGTAAACAATTTTTTATGACTCGCGCAGCGAAACGTTTTTTTGCAGGGCTGTAAGAAAAACGTTTTCCGCTGCGGGACCAAAAAAAGAAAAAAGTGCCTCTGGGATAGAACGAAAAATTTTGGGGAGTGGAGGATGCGCGCCCTCAAATTCACGTCTCTGAGCACTACATTTGATTCCATTAAATTTGTTTTAATTTCCAGCATGCAGGTGAATTGTAGCAGTCCCACCAAACATCTCAAATAAAAATCACCTATGCGAAAAAACATATTAACGTGAAGAAAAAACAAAATTCATTTAGAGTTGCGGAAAAATGCCCTTTTCATATTCAGCACACTCGATAACGCAGAAGATTTTCGATCTTTGGCGAGGGGTACTGCTAAAAATTTTTTTAAACTGATAGTTTGTCCCATCATAATTTTCTTTCGTCATTTTGGTTGGAAATTTTTCTTTAAACTTTTCGCAGTATACTTCTCCAGAGATCGAAAATCTTTTGGGTTATCGAGTGTGCAGAATATGAACAAGAACTTTTCCTCAACTCTAAATGAGCTTTATTCTTCTGTCGGTGATATGCCAGATACATTTGGTCTGTAATCGGGCGATACACGACTAGTTGTCATCTAGATGCATCTGCATGTGCAACTAATAATAGTTAAATCGACCCACTATTGGGCGATAAATCGATAGTTGTAACTAAGAAGAAATCTACCAATCATCCGATTACTAGATTTCCACTGTTGTTACCAAATAATCGCAATCGAGTAAAAATCTGGTAATCTAGATAAATCGGGCGATACTAGTATGCTTGGGATAAGAATGATAAATGAGAAGATTGAATACATAATTGCTACAGAACATAGAACGAGATTTTTATGTAAAATATCATTTATTGTTCATTGATTTTCGAGGAAAACAAAGTTATGAGAAATATTTACTAGATGAAATTTGTGCAGTACCTTTTATCAATACAAATATTATTAATACTTCTTTTAAATCTAATTTTTGTACTGATAAGGGTACTGTATAAATTTGTTGAAATGGCGAGGCGTTGAAATATAGGTCCTTTTGCCTTTCCGAACTAATGCCACTGTATAAAAATATGTACTATTTTCAGATTTTCCTTCTAATAAAAAAACAAAGCTATATGTTTCAAATACATCAACTATTGTCGGTAAAAGAAAAGAATGGACTCGAATGTTTCTTGAATAACGTTCTTTCTCGAAAATCAA